CGGGACTTGGACAGGGCGGTCCCGCCCCGTGTACCCCAACTTCCCCTCCGGAGTGAAACCCAGGGACAGCTCCGCCGCCCGGAAACCAGTACCCAAAATAAACTCGGGCACCGCCTCCAGCGACTCTGCCCACCCCGCTGGACGCGGCCCCTCCGAGCCCGTCACCTCCCTCCCCTCCCTGGGACATCGCCCTGTCCTCTAACACTGCCCTGAGCCCAGGCCACCGTCTGGCCAGGGTCTGTACGGTACGTGATTCTTGCTGCGACATAAAACTGACCAAGTGACTACTCGTCTCGGGAGCCTGGGCGGGGGCTTGTGGCGCCCAGCTGTGGTTTCCAGCCCCAGGCCCCCTTGGGTGACAGCTCCCCCTCCCGTGAGCTCTGAGGTCACAGCCCCCAGCCTGTGCTCGGGTCTGAGCGAACCCTGGGCCTCCACGCTGGGCTGTGTCCTTGCCCTTTCTAGTGTTTCCTGGGACCGGGGCTTGCCAAGATGCTGGGCTGGACTGGAGCTCACCATCCTCCTGCCTCAGCCTCCCAGAGATGGGGGTCACAGGTGGACGCCCCCGCATCCTAACCCCAAACCCTACCGAGACCCTGCACGGCCACCACCTGTTCCCTGGGAAGTCACCTCTCTCCTGCTGCCGGTGGCTTCGTTACCAAATGTCACTCACAAGCGCGTCCTCAGCTTGTGACCCAGCCACCCTGAGGCCCTGCTCCGTCCTCTGTCTCTCCTGGGGCCGGGGGGGGGGTGGTGGTGCACAGGGCCTTTGACCTGGACCCTACCGTGGGCCCCAGGGCCCTTTCGCTTGGTCCTTCCTGCCCCAGCTGCGGACCTTCTGTCCCTTGCGCTTGCGGTGCAGTCACCTATGGGCCAGCACGTCCAGGCCGCTCACAGCTGCCGAGTGAACAGCCAGGCTGTCCCGGTCACTGGCCACTCTGGGAGGCTGAGGCGGGCGGGTCACCTGCTTCAGCCCAGCTGGGCAACTTAGCGAGACCCTGTGGGGAAGGAAAAGAGCGCTGCAGACAGTCGGGTGAGAAGGCCGGGGGTTCCGCGCCGGGACCCCAGAAAGTCGAGACTGCAGGGACGGGGAGGAGCTGGAGCAGGGTGCGGCAGTCGGTGCTCAGAATGTCCCCTGGGCCACAGCCAGCCCGAGGG